AATGAGACTTAAGGCCATCAATATAATGTGAGTTTCCACTAATAAATCGATCATATCTTCTTGTTTCACAGTTATCTTAGGTTGAAAATCCAACCGAATGTGATATTCAAAAGGGGTTGGGGTAGTATAAAAATCATAGTAAAAAAAAGGCTATCGACAAATAAAAATAAAATAAAATCAAGAATTGGATTAATGTAAATTCAAAAATCCACTATGAAGCAGTTTTTGACACTTCTTGATCTTGATTTGGGGCTGGGGTAGTCCAGTATTGCTTGGTAGCAATTAGAAGCTTTTCGCGCACATGAGGGCCACCTTCATGGTCAGTCATTCTGCTGTCCCATTGAAGTCCATCTACTATACTCTTAACGTCGACCAAAACATCAACATCATCTCGTATAATCACACTTCCCTGAGGTCGTAATATTCTGTCCATTTCAAGAAGAATATCTTCCATATCACACCTGCATTTATTGATGTGAGAAAATGTTCAGCGAGTCGGTATTCTATAATAATGTGTACTGTGTTGCTCTCTCTGAAGAAACCAGAATAAAGTACCTGTTTTTGTAGAGGGTAAATAGTGAGTCGGCATGAATGAAATCATAAGTCCTTGGATAAGTAGACATGGCTTCACACCTAGGACAATATTTTGGATCAGAAACAACATACAGAAAGCTAAATAAACAAGTATCAAGCATGAATATTTGAGATTTTCAATACTGAAAGAAAATATTTGGTATGACTATCATGATGATTCATAGGATGAAAAGAGGCATACCAATTCTGATAAGTCCCGATCAGTCCACGCTCATAAATAACCCCAAGTGTATCCACTTCCGCCTCAGCAGGGACGACATTCATAACCCACAATGGATAATTGATAAGTGCAGCTGCAAATCCTCCCAAGTTGGCATTCATATCAAGTATATTACGGTACCTTCCAGGTTCTGCTAACTGAGAGTCCAAGGCTTTGTAGTGTGATACTCTCTTCTTCCACAGTTCCGTATCTTTTTCAAAGATTTCAGCTGTGACTGCTTGTACACTTCCACTACGAATTCTCGGCGGAACAGCAGTCAATCTCTGCGGCCAATTTGCTAGAGACCCGCCAGCAATTTCTTTGATATCAGACACTTCAGGCAGAGGAGTCAGACAGGCTTCCATCTTGGTATACCTGCAACAGGACAAATTTAAAATCGGAAAACACATTAAAAAATCAAAAAATATGACCAATTCGACTCAAAGCAAAAGTTGTAAATTAAAAAATGCACTAGTGTGTTACAAGGGAGTATGGGTAATTAACATGCAAAATAAAGCGTTTAATCTTAATGTACCATGCTTTATCTGCTTCCTGAGCCTGGCAGAAGGGAGGCTTCTTGAAAATCTTCCTCTGTAATTTACAGTGCATATGATTAGTAGGCTTCTGCCAAATGGCAAGATCATTTCTCTGTACCAATTTCTTCCAGCACAGACTCTTTGCCACTCTCTCGATTCCATTTTGTTCTTCATTCAGGTCTTCTCTTGTTCTGTTCCAGCCTTTCCAGTGATTCTTCCAGTTCACAGGTGGTCCAGAGAGAATCCAATATCCACCAGGTCGCAAAATCCGATCAATTTCAGTCAAGTAAAGTCCATCTACCCAAGAATTTTCAAAAGTTAACATTAATTTTCACAGTTTCCTTCCTTACGCATATAACATATTATATATGTTAAAACAGGTTATTTACCGTTCTTGCCCCATGGAATAAGGCAGCGCGAACAATGAGCCATGTCGAAGGCCCTTGAAGGGTAAGGTAGCCTATTCGAGGCTAAAATTCCTATCAGAGCAGGAACTCCACGTTCGAGAGCAAATTGCACTTGTGCTTCATGTGTATCTTTTGGTGCAAATGAAATCGGTAGGATATTTCGAGACAGGAGGTAAGCACCCCAGCTAGCAACCTGCAAAACATAGGGCAATAACTAACCAAAATTTACAATTCGAAACTTGACATAACTTTATATGGGAAGCCTTTTT